TTCCTTCCTAGTTCCAATACTCTTTACCAGGTCCGTCAATTCGTCGTAAAATTTATCCTTTACCTCGTCCTTTTCATCTTCAGAAGGTGCATATGCGCCCACTACCACTATGTCACGTCCTTTTAGCTTCATCTCAACTTTTATTAACCTTTCGTTTATTTGTTCCCAGTTCTTAATATTTCGTGACAGCCTTTTCTTTATCAATATACTGCATCAAATGTACAGCATCAGATGTACGATCCCCAAATACTGTCGATATATAATTTATAATACCATCAGGAGTGTAACATATTAAATATTTAAGAGTATTACATTTTATATTTATGTTCTGACCATGTTTAAATTACACAAGTAAAGATTGTTTCACTGCACCTGTTGGTTTCTCTATTTCTAAACAATCAATTATACAATAAACATTACAATATCGAGCTCCAAAAGCTATTGGTAAATTTGATTTCACGAATGAAACCTGAGGTTGTATTATACATTTTCTTAAATATTTACTTATAACTGGAGCAGATTTTGAAAATATTTTTGAAGTATAACTTTTAGTTATGAAAAAATCATCTGTTAGAGCTGTAAAAGAAAGTCCAGTCCTGATTTTTTTAGTGTTGAAAATATATTCATAGAATTTACTGTGCAATATTTTTCTAGCAATTGAAATGTATGGTATGCATGTTCTGGTAATCCCATATGCAATCTAGGTCTGTTTTGTAATTTTGTAATTGTACAATTTATTGTCAGATTTTTTAATTCAGTTATCTTTTCATCATTAAGTTTTTTCACTTCACCGGGCGCTAAAGTATACTATACTGAAGTATACCTACACTAACACTTTCACTAAAATTTTGATGATCACTACTTTGTATGCTTAGAGTAGTTTCAGAAATATTTGTCACATAACTAGTTGATGGCTTCATCTCTACGTTGACAGGAATAATTTTGATTGACGATAACCCTACTGTAATTCCACACTGTAGGTTACATTCAACACCATTAGTATTAACACTAGGACTAGGACTTGTGAAGAGACATCCCTTTTCGATACTTTAATGTCATTTGTTTCCAGCTGAATTTCCATAGGGTTAATGGTCTTACTACTACATGCAACTATCTCCAAATTCTCCTAAATACAAAGTGGATCTTGTAGCACCAAATAAATAGCTTCATCAACAATTCTATTTGCAGTTCTCTTAGTACCTGCTGCCCTAGGATGATTTTGAAAAGATCTTTTTCTATTTTGCTGGCAACCAAATATATGAGGCACAACATTTGTTTTCATTTTTTTCTGACCACTCATTAACTTGCATTTAACATAGTTATCCATGTCTTCTTTAAGCTAGAATAAATAAATAACTAAATAAGCCATATAAAAATATGTGTTATTATAAATAAATATAGTAACAATTAAAAACATAAGGTTATTTGTAATACAACGGTAATACTATTCTTAGTAAATATTAATAGATTGTGTAGAAAAGAATTAAACATAAAATAGCTAACTATGTATAATGATATATAACTGTATAATGTATAATGATTAGATATAGTCTGATTTTTATACTCACTCTAAAATAATCCTCACATACGTGGGCTGTAGTTTTCTGTGAAAAATATGTCTCATGAGAACCATACAATATTTGTAATATTGATTTTGTGTTGGTTCCATTATTATTATTATTGATATTGTTAAAGCACAGATAATAAAAAAAAAGAAATTCTCCACAACAAAAACCTTCAAAACACAATGTCAATTTGTCAATGTTTTTACAGTTGACAGTTTGTGGCAACAGTGTTGCCAGTTCGTTGTTCTCTTGTCCTGGAAGAAGCTGCGTGACGTCATATAGCTCGTCGTGTTATTTAAAATGGAAATCTGGCGTTCATAACTTTAAATGTTCATTGTAAATTTGAGGGTTGATATTTGGTATACGTTATTTCTATATGTAGACAAATATAATAAATAAATTAAAAATTGTCAAGTTTCCTATTGTCGAAACCAAATTCCGATTTTTGCTTTAATGTGTGTCTTCTAAGAATTTCAAGGCAAAACAGAAGTTGATAAAGATATAATTAGAAAAATGGGAAATCTAAAATTGTATTCCACGACACATCTTCTCAACTAAGCAAAAATCCTTGGTTTCTAGTACTCATAAAGAACATATCGAAATAAAAGGAAAGACAGTTAAGATTTGATTTCCCGTATAGTGCCTCTGTATGTTCTGTTATACGTATTTCACCCTAAAAGGAATCTTTGGAGCGACCTAACCTTACCTAACCTAACATAACCTAACCTAATACACAACTTCTACAAAATTTGTGCTTTCTGTTTTTTTTATTATTAGTGTTTTTAATTTCATGGTTTGTTTAAAGCATATATAACTAAACAAATTAATGCATACCTCTTAAGTTTTCAAAAAAACCTTACTGGTTTCAACGACATCTGTACGACAATGATTTATGGTCTTAAAGGCAACCCTTAACCTCTATTTGAAGATTTGAATTTGTAATGAGCTGATAGTTGCGATAACATAGACTATAACAATAAATTATACAAAAAATTAATTTTTAATTTAATAGTCAAATCTAAACGTAACATAATTTCCTGAGTTATGCTTATTTTTATAATTACTTTTCCTCAAAAACATTACAAATATATTTTACACAAATTACATGTTAAAGTTTTTATAATTATAAATAAAAATTATTGAATTAATTTGTATATAGAAATAACTACAATTTACATACTTAATTATATACTTACTGTTTTTATTTATAATTGTATAAAGTTTATAACAATTAATTTGTTTAAAATAAATTTCTAATGTTTGTAAAAATTCAAGAAAAATTAACACGTATAGATTTGATTTTCAAATAAAATATTTTTTTTGTAAAATTAATTTTTACAAGATATTATTTATAACCATAATGCATAAATATTTAAGTAACCTATTATTTCATAACATTTTCTACTGATAACAATAAGAATATACTAAAATTTTGCAAAATAAATATTTATTTAAAATTTTTTAAACAAATTATGGGTTAAATAGACAATCATAGAAATACCCCAAATTAAAACATTAAAAACATTAATTTTAGTTAATTATAACCGAAGATATTGCGACTTTTATAAAATTAAATTTATGAATTAAGTATTTGAAATATGTAGTAAAATCTAGAAATAAAGGAAAGGCTAACTCGGTTTCTCAGGTTTGTAGGTCGTATCTTTCTAGTTAAAAAAATTAACTTCCTATATGTTGATATGTCTGATGTATTTTAAAAGCTTAAAGTCACAGTACTTTCGTAAACCTATTTTACAATATTTAACATAAATTGTTTAATCATAAAATAAATTAATTCGATAACATAAGCCTTTCTCTTCAATTTAGTGGTTTTAGAATTTCTGTAGACCTAATGGTTTACGTATATTAAATAACGTTGTAGATAAAAGCTTTCTGGAATAAACAATTAATTTTGCAGTAGCTGCTAAATGAAACTTCTTGAAATTTTTATTGCTGAATACATGTGATATGGTCAATATTATCAAGTGAAATTAAATTTTTTGTGCATTTAAAAAAATAATTATTAATTTTTAAAAAATCGACGTTTGAAGCTATTTTACAAACTCTTATTTTTTCAGTATTTTCTATGCTTTTTCAGTAATATTGTGTAATTTTTCAATATAATTTACCGGTGTTCATCTAAAATCCAATGGCGGTCTTACATTGTTTATATATTGTATTAAGTAAAAAATCAGGTTCAAATTTTTACACATTTTGTTTATTACATATTGTTATCACCAAACTTATCAAAAGCCGTAGTTAGATATCTATCTCAAAGAGTGTCATGAAAAAGGCCTTTTGTTTACTAATTTCTTTAGTCTAGAAGGGAGATTGAAAGTTGTTCAAGCGAGACTGAAGACTCAGAAACACTTACAAAAATTAAAACGTGCAAAAATTGCAGACAGAGCTTCAAAGAGTTTATGTAAATATTCGATCAGAAAATTACCTTAGTCTATGTGATCACATATGGACCAAGGATCTTTTAACGGTTCCGAAAGATGCCTTCTTCGCTCATTGTATCGGCAGACTTTAATATGACCAAAGGAATATCGTCAATATTTACCAAAATATTTCATTTAGTTTGACGATTTGAAAATTCAGCAGACTATTGCTGGTAAAGTAGTGCATTTAGAAGATCGCAATCAAACGGTGCTGTACTTTTTGACGAAAATATTCTCTACCTAAAGTACAAGCTACGAAAATGTATGGTGCATGTTAATTGATTTAAGAACAATTGTGTGCGATTTTTGTAAGAGAATTAGTTTTCATAAAGGTGGCCATACTGTTTCTGTAAGATTTTACTGTTTTGTTATTTCTTGTTTTAACAATTGTGTAGAGGTGGAAACCTTGTCGCTTTTGGTACTAAGAAGTGATTTTGAGAATCTGTGATAGGGGCAGTAAGTGCTACAAAGCCGCAGAGAGATCGCGAAATCTCCAGTAAATCATAAATATGGCTAGGTGAGTATTGTCGTTCCGAAAAAGTTCTAAGATAACTCCCAAATGAATATTATTTATACTGAGGTTTTTGTTACATAGAGGTAGTCTGCATTTTAGAATTTAAAAATAATTATCAAACAAAAGTGTATATAAATCGCATCGTTGGTTTTTAGTTAATTCATTTTATTTGGTATTTGCCAAAACCTTTTTATTAAAAAGACGTTATATTGACTAGTTATTGACGTTACACAATTTAGTTTCGTCAATTACTCCCGGCTCTCAACAATCACAGAAATATGAGTTATCAAATTGATTTTGCGGTTCTTCCCAAATCAATTGAAAATTGTCTGCTTACTGACCACTTCCAAAATTTTTCAAATAATCTCGTGTAACATAGTATTTTCATAAAACATTGAGTGTCGAAGGGCTTCGATATGAGTTATTTTCAGGGTGTATGATGGTTCATTTATTAGTATTCTAACTCTCCATAAAGGTACTTACCTAAATAACTTGGATAATAATACCGTTCCCTCCACATCCTAAAAATAACATAGCCTCCAATAGCAACAAGAACTAATGTAGCAACTATGATTAACACCCTTATTAGATTTATCTAAAAAAAGAATATTATATAGATATATTATATATATATATATATATATATATTATATATATATATAAATATATATATATATATATAAAGGTAAGAAAAATGAAGTAATTGTGACTCGTTTGGAAAAAATATAAAACTGTCTTGGATGGTTGGAGTCAATAAAAGAGGCTATTTGTTAATTATTTTTTACTCAAGCTTTCAATTGTGTATAGAATTATTATGAAGAGCTGCTAAAAAATACAAAATATCTTGAACTAGAAAGTATCAGAGTTGAACTAGAAAGAAAAAAAATGTGTTAACTCACTAAATAAAATTAGTTTGGTATATAAATATATATAAATATATATATTATATATATATATATATATATATATATATATATTATATATATAAATATATATATATATATATTATATATATATATATATATATTATATTTCATGGATGATCTTATCAGTGATTGTATCAACAATTGTACATTTTTCATTCCGTTTATTAAAAGATATGTATATGATTTAGTTTTGGCACTTCCTAAGCACAAAATTCTTGAAACAGTCAACATTTTCAACAATCATAATCAACATATACAATTTACAGTTGAGGAAGAGGTAGATAGTTCTCTACCATTCCTTGACATGAGAATTGTAAGAAATACAGAAAATATGTTGAAAACCAGATGGTTCAGAAAACCGATATGTAGTAATAGATTTATAAGCTATTACTCTCATCATCCTAATAAAATGAAAATAAACCTTATAACAGGATTAAAAGAACGTGTTTTAAAGCTTTCTCATCCAGACTATCTACAAGAAGAATTTCAATTGTTAAAAAATATTTTAATTGAAAACTCTTATCCTCCAGATATGCTACATAGGATGTTTTTTTCTAATAGTTTTAATATAAATAACTTAACACCATTTTTTGCTAAATCCCAGAACATTGTATCCAACAATCAGAACATCTATTATCATTCACTCCCTGTTATACTATCATTAACACCTAAATTAATACAAATACTAAAGGTTATTGACAATATAAAAATAGCAACAAAGAACATCAAAACCATTTCATCTTTATATTCCAAAACTAAGTATCCTATAGACAAATTAGATAAAACAAATGTAGTATACAGCATTAGTTGTACTCAGTGTCAAGGTGAATATGTTGGTGAGGTCTCAAGAAATCTTTCAAATCGCACAAGAAACCATCTTGTGGTTTGGCAGAGCATGTAATCGACAAAGACCATATTATGGATTTTGATAATATTAAAATTTTATGTAGTGAAAGTAATAAATTTAAACGAACTTTTTTGGTAATGTTTTGTATTAGCGAAAATGATAATAATTTAAACAAAAGGTCAGAAATTCTATGTAGTTTATATCTGAAATCAGTAAAATATCACATTTTGATTTAATTTTCAATGTATTTGTTACATTTTTTCAGGTATCTATCAATGGTAAATAAATCTTCTTTTTTGTTACTAAACAAAAAAGAATTTTTAAACAAAATTTTATTTTTGGTAATATAATTGTCAAAAATAAAAATTTTAAGTTGGTGTTTATGAGATTGAGGCTTATTTGTAATTTTCACTATATGTTAATACAATAATATTAACAACTGTAATCTCACGACTAGTAAGTAAGACAATTAACAATTTTAACTAGTTAATTTATATTTCTTTTTATAGATGTCTTGAAAAAGAATTAAATTAAATTCAAAAGATGAATGTGTTGCTTGTGTGAGTCCATATCAAATAGGTAAAGAAATAATAATAAGACTTACTCACAATCAATTTAATTTAGCAATCTGACGACCGGTTTCGCTTTCTACAATTTGCAAAGCATCTGCAGGTCTAGATAAAAAGTTAAACTAATGCTGCAATAAAATAAACCCAATTAGGGTGGTGTCTAATAAAGATAAAATAAACAAATAAGTTAGTTCATACAAATTATAGTAATTATGCCAATATTACATGTCTGTGGTTTTCAAAATGAATAAATTTGAATATATAAAAGGTATTAACAGACCAGGTAAGACCCACAATTGGTATAAAGTAGTAATATTATATTGTAATAAATTAATAAATGAGCAGATAAATAAAACAAAACAAACATTACTTACATGCCGGTACTCTATTAATTGATGGATGGTAGGTCATGGTTGCAAAAATCATGTATTGTTGATTGGAGAACTTTAATGTGCTATTGCAGTTGTTTTGACAATAAACGGGAAGTTCTTGAGAGAGAACAGATTTGATCCAATGAATTAGAGATAGGTATATTGTGGTTGTTTGTCAAATGAAAGTGATGTTCTTTACTATTGTATTATTTGAATTATTTACACTTATATCAGAGATATATTTTTGGAATGTGTGTTATTTATTGAGTATTTATGTTATGAAGGAGACAGTTTTATGACAATGAATAAGAGTAGCTGTACCGATTGTGTGGTTGTGCAATTATTTTGACTTGTAATTATCAAGTCTATTGGCAAAATTAATCAATTTTTGTAAAGTCAAGTATATAAAAAGTATATAAAATTATTACAAATCAAGACAATCAGGGACAAATTAAACATACATTAACAGGAACAGAAACACTAAATGACGGGACAAACATTGAATTTAAAACTTAAACTTGGGGAATGGAAGAAACTGCAAGCACTACATCTCAGTGTTGGAACTAATGAGTTTTTTTATATTTAATCTATTAGATTTAAGAGGCAAATTTGACATATGTAGGTTGAAGTGTGACAGTTCTTCTTCTATTACTAAATACTGTAAGTTTAGTTATTCAGTAATATGGAGTATGTTGATATTAATGAATGTCTCAAAATTGTTTTAATTTAGAAATCAAAAGTAAATTGATGTGTTTAATATTGGCATACTTTAACAATTTTAATTAATAAGTTTCAAATTCAAAAAATTTTTTTATGTAACAATGTGAATAATTGAAATACATCATCTATTATAACTAACCAATTTTAGTCTGAATTTTTCAGAACAAATTAAAATGATTATTTAGTAAATGCAAACAAGTGTACTTGTAATTGAAAGGTATAACAAATTTACAAATTGCCTGAAAATTTTTTTATTTGAAATAATTGTCGGTCTGAGCTATTGTTATGGTGTATAAACATTTCTTAAAATATTTTAATTTAAATTATAATAATTAATAATTAAATAAAGTAGTAATTGGGTGAATATTGATGATTATTCAAATTTTGAGTTCGAGTAATTGACTGACTTAAGTCTTGAATAATTAGTTGGCAATGCTAATTTATGACAATTGGAACCGCAAATTGGTTCCATCCCTGGGCAGCCGGTACCCATTTATACCGGTGTAAAGTATACTTTTATTTCAATTCTTTGTATCATATGAACAGACATTCCTCAAACCGACAAGAACACTGGTGAGTTTTTACAGTAGTTTTAGTAAAAATTTTTAAATTTTTAAAACCTTTAATATCTGTTTCTGAAATTTAATATTTCTATTTAAATTATAAATTTGTACAGGATTATGAATAGTATAGATATATGTAATCCAAACTGCTAGTCTGAACAATTTTCAAGTCATGTTGGAAATCCATAAACCACGTGTTGAGTTTGAAATGAAATATGTTGTAAATTAAGTATTTGTCGAAACCAGATGGAATGCAATAATAATTATTATGGGTTAAATAAGTTGAGGTACCATACCAGTTCATTACTGATGTTTAATTTAGTTTTAGGAAAGTTTATTTTTTATTGGTGATATGTTGAAGAAAAGAAAAGAGGAGAAATTCTGTGAACAAGAAATTCTATCCAGCACACCATGATGGATCGAATTTCTTGTTCACAGAATTTCTCCTCTTTTCTTTTCTTTTCTTTTCTTTTCTTTTTCGGAACCAATTTCCGGTTCCAATTGTCATAAATTAGCATTGCCAACTAATTATTCAAGACTTAAGTCAGTCAATTACTCGAACTCAAAATTTGAATAATCATCAATATTCACCCAATTACTACTTTATTTAATTATTAATTATTATAATTTAAATAAAATATTTTAAGAAATGTTTATACACCATAACAGATAGCTCAGACCGACAATTATTTCAAATAAAACAATTTTCAGGCAATTTGTAAATTTGTTATACCTTTCAATTACAAGTACACTTGTTTGCATTTACTAAATAATAATTTTAATTTGTTCTGAAAAATTCAGACTAAAATTGGTTAGTTATAATAGATGATGTATTTCAATTATTCACATTGTTATATAAAAAAATTTTTTTGAATTTGAAACTTATTAATTAAAATTGTTAAAGTATGCCAATATTAAACACATCAATTTACTTTTGATTTCTAAATTAAAACAAATTTTGAGACATTCATTAATATCAACATACTCCATAATACTGAATAACTAAACTTACAGTATTTAGTAATAGAAGAAGAACTGTCACACTTCAACCTACATATGTCAAATTTGCCTCTTAAATCTAATAGATTAAATATAAAAAAACTCATTAGTTCCAACACTGAGATGTAGTGCTTGCAGTTTCTTCCATTCCCCAAGTTTAAGTTTTAAATTCAATGTTTGTCCCGTCATTTAGTGTTTCTGTTCCTGTTAATGTATGTTTAATTTGTCCCTGATTGTCTTGATTTGTAATAATTTTATATACTTTTTATATACTTGACTTTACAATAATTGATTAATTTTGCCAATAGACTTGATAATTACAAGTCAAAATAATTGCACAACCACACAATCGGTACAGCTACTCTTATTCATTGTCATAAAACTGTCTCCTTCATAACATAAATACTCAATAAATAACACACATTCCAAAAATATATCTCTGATATAAGTGTAAATAATTCAAATAATACAATAGTAAAGAACATCACTTTCATTTGACAAACAACCACAATATACCTATCTCTAATTCATTGGATCAAATCTGTTCTCCTCAAGAACTTCCCGTTTATTGTCAAAACAACTGCAATAGCACATTAAAGT